GAGTTCAAGAGGAAGCACAAGAAGGACATCAGTGGAAACCCTAGAGCTCTGAGGAGGCTCAGGACATCATGTGAGAGGGCAAAGAGGACTCTCTCGTCCACTGCCCAGACCACCATTGAGATTGATTCTTTGTATGAGGGTATCGACTTCTACTCTACAATCACCCGTGCCAGATTTGAGGAGCTCAACATGGATCTCTTCAGAAAGTGTATGGAGCCCGTTGAGAAGTGTTTGAGGGATGCTAAGATGGACAAGAGCAGCGTTCACGATGTTGTCCTTGTTGGTGGATCTACTAGGATTCCTAAGGTCCAGCAATTGTTGCAGGACTTTTTTAACGGGAAGGAGCTATGCAAGAGCATCAATCCAGATGAGGCCGTTGCTTATGGTGCTGCTGTCCAGGCAGCCATCCTGAGTGGAGAGGGCAATGAGAAGGTTCAGGATCTTCTCCTTCTCGATGTTACTCCTCTATCTCTTGGTCTGGAGACGGCTGGAGGTGTCATGACTGTTTTGATTCCTAGGAACACCACCATTCCTACCAAGAAGGAACAGGTGTTCTCTACTTACTCCGACAACCAGCCTGGAGTGTTGATCCAAGTTTATGAGGGAGAGAGAACGAGAACCAGGGACAACAATTTGTTGGGTAAGTTTGAGCTCTCCGGCATCCCACCTGCTCCCAGGGGTGTTCCTCAAATCACAGTGTGTTTTGACATTGATGCAAATGGTATTTTGAACGTCTCCGCGGAGGACAAAACCACTGGGCAGAAGAACAAGATCACTATTACCAACGACAAGGGTAGATTGTCTAAGGAGGAGATCGAGAAAATGGTGCAAGATGCGGAGAAGTACAAGTCTGAGGACGAGGAGCACAAGAAGAAAGTGGAGTCGAAGAACGCGTTGGAGAATTATGCATACAACATGAGGAACACCGTGAGGGACGAGAAGATTGCCTCCAAGCTTGCTGCAGCAGACAAGAAGAAGATAGAGGATGCCATCGAGCAAGCTATCCAATGGCTGGACAGCAACCAGCTCGCCGAGGCCGACGAATTCGATGACAAGATGAAGGAGCTTGAGAGCATCTGTAACCCCATCATCGCCAAGATGTACCAGGGTGCTGGTGGTGACATGGGCGGAGGTATGAGCGATGATGGGCCTTCGGCTGGTGGAAGTGGTGCTGGGCCCAAGATCGAGGAAGTCGACTAAGGTGGTCGACTATTATTTCCAGTTTTGCGTAGCCTTTTTTTGCGTCCCTCCTCATACTTAGTTATATACTTCCCTTCTTTATATTTAGTTTTGAAAATACTCCATTATGCATTTTTGGCTTTTTGATTTTTCAATTTCAAATGTTCTGATTGCTAAACCAGTAGGGCTGGTCTACTTAAATTTGCTGATATTTTTTCAAATTTCAATTTCAATTTCAATTGTTCACTTCCCTTGTGAGCTGTGGCATTGGTGGTTTGAAGTTATAGCAGCACCATGTTTTATGTGGATCTTTGCTGCAAACGGATTGAATGAATTTCGTCGTTAACCCAAAACCAATGTTCGGGGAAAGAAATTTATACTGATCAACTTTTAAGCAACTTTCCAACTAATGGTATGTTTGGTTGTTGTGACGGGATGAGATAATATGAATATTTGCATAAGATTCCTATTTTCTGTCGTTTGTTTTAGTCGAAACAATGGAATGGGATGAGAACTTACATTCCAAAACTATAGATGCTGGTTCTCGCCAGATAGGTGTAACCCTGCTGAGAAATGAAAACGATAAGTCTGCGAGACAAATGTCGAAGGTGACACCTCCTTTCACCTCCAACCACTGTCGACATCTCCATTCACATGGTCTTACAATCAAATCTCCAACCACTGTTTTCTTCACCTTTAACGAATCTAAGACCTCTATTCTCCATCTCTGATTCACGTTTTTTAGCCATTTTGTATTTTTTCCTTGAAAATTCATTATTTTATATCTTCCAAGTCGAGCTTCAGACCTTATTGTGTGCGGTTTCTCTCCGGTAATTTTTTTTTTTGTATTTTCTCTAAAACTTCGGTGCTTTTCTTTGCATCCCTGACTTCTTAGCCTTCCTTTTGAGAGCCAAATGTTGGTAGATCTGCTTAAACTTCTGTTCTCATCGTTGCAGATCTAACAAGTTTGTAATTTTTTTTTCATGATATGCAGTTTTAAACCTTGCTAAACTTTTGTCATCATCATTGATAATGATTGAAGGGGAATATAGGAGCCAACCATGGGTGTTCATGTTCCACTGTTGTTAATGGTTGAAGGGGAATGAAATCAAGTATCTTGCAAAATTTTCTCAACAATCAAACACTGGAAAACAAATTTTGCAGAATAATTGGTCTCAACAACCAAACATAAGATGCCAAAATGAGAAATAAAATTTCCTTTGTTATCTCATTCCTTCTCATCCCACTATTTCTTGGCAACCAAACAGACTGTAAGAAAATTGGAAGCATCTGCCTTCTGGTTCCTGCATTACTTGATTTTACCGAAGGGAGGTTGCTTTCAATGCCATTACAGAACACAAAGTATGCAATGGAATGAGGTGGCATCTATTGCTTTACAAGGCAGAAATAGAGAACCTTTAGGCAATGTTTGGTTTGAAGGAAAAGAAGAAAAAGATAGGGAAGCTTATACAAGGTTTGTAAAGGTTTTCCTACCTTTCCCTTCTTTTCCCTATCTTCCTTCAAACCAAACACTGCCTTAAAGATTAAAAAATGGGTTAATAGCTAGATAAGGACAACTTTTGGGCCCTAATATCAATAAAAGTAATATTTATAATAAAATTTAAAAAATAAGTTAATTTTTTAAAAATAATATCAATTAAGGACAAAAATGATGTTCATCTTCTCCTTCTTGTAATCTATTTATCAGCGTTGCAGTCTATCGCCGCCCGCCACCGCCTCCGGCAACCTTCGGCAATGGCTCTGCCTACCTCTGCCTCCTCCACCTCTACCTCTGCCCAACTTTGCCACCTCCGCCCATCTCGTTTCCAAACACTGCCGCTTTAAGGATCTTAAGAAGAGGAAGAAGAACCTAACAATAAGGTCTATTGTTCTGGAATATTTTGTTCTCAAGTGATCTTATTTAGCAAAAGCAGCTGTTCCCATGAGAAAACACATTGTCTTTTGGAGTACAGGATGGTCTGTGCCACGGGAGAATTCACTAGCACCTGCAGTAGTTGTTGTTGGTTCAGTTTCTCCAACCCACCAAGCTCCAAACTAACATTTCCTAGTAGCACCTCCCACTCGATGCTCGATTGACATGGCATGGTTTGCAGTGCTCTAAGTTGCGCCTTCAGGAATTCTATGTACTTGTACGCCTCTTCCAGCAACGTCGCCATGCTCATCTTCTTGTCCCATGGCATCAGCTTCTACAGGCACCTCGTCCTATCGCCGATCTTCTTCTGCTGTTGCATAGCCAATGTGCTCATGTGCACTACAACCGATGACAGAGGGCTTCGATTTGGCGCCTGTAGCCAAGCAACGAATCTAAGGTTCGGTAACGCGAAGTTTCTCACTATAGCTTCCAGTGTGTAAGAGTCGGTTGATGACGACGATTGGAGATTTACCTAAAGAGAAGATTCGACGATGGCAAGCTTGTTTTGCTGCATATGAGAACTAGTCGAAATTCCCGGATCCTTAGAAGCTTGTTCGATAGAATGGAGCTCCGGTAACCGATGAAATCTCCAATCGCAAAGAGGTAGAGTCTGATCGAAGCTTTCTGATATGAAGCTGCACATTTCGATGGGATTCATCAGTTGCTCATCGAATGGCTCGGGTTTGGGGAGTATTATCTTCTGCGAGTTGATGAAGCTGATAGAGCATTTCGGTGGTTGATCTCCGTCTACATCACAATCAATGATATTTTTGTTCCGAGGAGGCGCGAGAGAGTCATTGAAGAAGCTGAAAGCCACAGGATCTGACACCGAAATTAGTGGAATTCCGATATCAAATGGAGTAATTTCTTGATTTATGCCAGATGCAGTGAGGAAATGGAAACCCGCCGCCCCTAGGATGTTGAGGTTGAAGAAACCATCTTCATTTCCCGGTCCAGTGAAGCGGTAGGCAAAAGAAGGCCAGATGCTTAGCAACAAAGTTTGATGAAATATCTCTCTCCATGTTCCTTGTTCACACTTCACACAGACAACAAAACCGAAAATATAGAAACCTTGGGAAATAAAATGAAGAGATGAACAAGGGATATCTCCTTACTACTTCCAATCGTATTCACTATTGAGATTTAAAGAGAGCGGAGTACAAGGAGGTTTCTTTGACGAGTCTTCTCCGGCAACGCTGCTGGAGGCGTTGCCGAAGGTTGGTGACGGCGGACAGTGGTGTTAATGAATAAATTGGAAGAGGAATAAAATAAACAGTGTTTTTGCCCTCAACTTAATTGATATTATTTTTAAAAAATTAACCTATTTTTTAAATTTTATTAAAAGTATTATATATTAGGGCCCAAAAGTTGCCCTTATCTCCTATTAATCTAAAGATAGTGAAAGTGACTGATGCTTGATGGAATAGACCAGACCAGACTACCATTGGGTTAGAGCGAAGAAAAATAACTAATTTGATTAGAATTAATTGGATTTAATTTGAATCGGATTGGAATAAAATCCTAGTTCCTTGGTGTTCAGTCATTTTCTTTTTTCTTGAGTAGGATTTTCTATGTTCTTATAATTCTTCCCGCTGCTAAGCATTTTGAGGAACCACTTCTGCTGTTTAGTTGCTTACTATCAAAAAAGCCCAGAATGTACTGGGAACTGGGAGGTTTCTGGATGGTATATAGGAAAGGTGCTTAGTTGCTTACTATCAATAAAAGCCCAGAATGTAGTGGGGTCTTCCATTGTGAAGGATGTACTGGGTCAACTCGACAAGGATGCGTTTATTTCTCTTTTCTCTAAGCTCATCCGAGACGCCAAATACGTTCAGAGCAAACTATCAGAAATTCAGAACTGAGCCCAGAAGAGGATAGAGTAGTCAGACACGTCTTGGATGGACTCCTTAATGGTACCAGTACCACCACTGGTGGAGGACCTTTGTCCTTTGATGCTAAGGTCTTTAGGGCAGAGGTAACGTTATGGTCGAGTACCCGGGGAGTGGGGACTGCTCTCGGAAAGATCCTCTCGTTTGTGGGTTGTCACATGGACGTTGTCACGGCCAATCCGAATGAATGGGATTTTGATCCTCTTTTTCTCTGAGCATCGACGGAGTTGAACTCCGAGGTCGTGGAACAACCGATAGTTTGGGGCATGCATGCAGCACTAGTAACTGAACTCATGATAATGCTGGGCAAGACAAAACCTGAATTGGAAGTAATGAAGTCAACTGTGGTGGCTGTCTTTATGGAAAATGAAGAGAACTCATCATCAATTTTGGGGGTGGGACTGTGGGAGTTCAGTTGATGCTCTTGTAGAAGATGGGTTGCGCTTAATAATTAAGCTTAAGTAAGGTCCTCTGTTTTTGATCGATACCGCAGATAATGAACCTTGCATTGGTGTTCGTGGTATGGTATCCTGAAAACTTAAAGCTAAAGGTAGGGGTGTTTATGGATCGGTTTTGGATTGGACTTCCTCCAAATCAAAATCAATTTGGATGGATTGGACATATTTAGATGGATTGAATGGACCGATATGACATATTGGATTGGATATGGTCCGTTCATAATGAATTTATATTGGATTGGGCCAATATCTGGTCCATTGATAGAAGATAAGAACATAGATATTAATGGATCAGGTTTGAATTGAAACCAATTTAAATTAATAGGAATTTCAACAGACTAGATAGTCTTTGAACTGGTCCAAAATAATCCAAAATATTCATTGGATTAAACTGGATTAGGTCCATTTGTAATGAATTCACATTGAACTAAATCAGATTGGACCAAATCCAATTCAATTGGCACCCATAACAACAGGTAAGCTTTTCCATAGTGGTCTGGCTCACAATCACAAGGCTATAAATCCTTTGGAGCTAGCCATGGAATTGAAGCACTTAGGAGATTCAGATGCGGTTCTATAATAGAGGCTTCCTCCGCATCCCAAGGAACAGATTTATGGATTTGCTTGCAACACTTTCAACCATGAAACCATCTCAATGGTGCTATTCTGGAGGAGGTGTGAATCAGATTCCATTTGATTGTATTATTTCAGGGGTTGTGAGATTAACTCCTTGGTAGATGTGATTATAAAGGTGCAGGGATATGTGTGCCAACATTATGACCTGTCGCAAAATATATGTTCCCCGAAGTGAACCTCCTCAGGGGAAGATTTACATTCAGTTTTCAGGGTTTATTTGGTTTGCAGAAATAGGGGTCTGGAATTAGAATTGGAATGGACTGTTTGATTGGACGAAATCAGAATCTCATTCTTATTCATGCTAGAATGACATTCTCCCATTAAGGGAATGATCATTCCCTGCCCCTCCCTTGAGAATGAAATCCCATTTCTACTAATTTTAATTTTTTTTTTCATTTTTGTCTGAACTAAATAAACTAGGGAAATGAATCATTCCAATTTCAATTTCAATTTCGACTACAAACCAAACAAACCCTCAGTTTTGATGAGGATATAACGTCTGGAGTTGCCTGTAATTATTCTCATGGCTTCCATGTGTTATGTAAAGCAACCAAACATGTGGTTGGGCATATGTAAAATCCTATTCAATCACTGGGAGCTTGCCAAGTTGCCATTGATTCGAGAATTGCACGATGAAAGCTTTGACGTTCAAACAGCAGATTGAAGGATTTTTTTAGGCAATCCTTAATTGTGAAAAAAAAACCAAAAAAAAAAAGAAAAAAAAACCCAGAATGCATTTTTGAGGCAATCCGATTGAAGCAATTGCAAACTCACACAAGTTGGTCGGTAATTCGGTATGAAGTTGACTCACAGCTACAAGAGTTGTAAGAACAAATTTGTGAGGATTAAATCTGAATTCCCTAGAAATGTTTCATCATGAACGGAAGAGACTTCAGATATGTTCTCAATAAGTCTCTTAAAAGGCATTATAGCTGTACATCATAAACATTTCCTGTCATTCATAGGGAGATTTCTATGTACAGTTGATAGTGGCTTATCGGGGGTCAACAGCCTGGGCCGTTGATAACGAGGATGTAATTGTAGGGGAAAGGAGTAATTTTACTCAAAAATTTTTAGACCAAAAGGACAAAGAGGAGACTGAATGGAGTCTGGACCTCCTACCCATGACGATTCTACCCACATGAGATCACAGCCACATATGAGGAATATTTCATACTCTTACATGTTATTTATTATGTATGGAAAAATGTTATCAGTATTGCACCGAGGTAGTGTTTTGTGGATAAATGTGGGTAGAGTTTTGTAGGTAGAAGATCCCGATTCAACTGAATGAATTGTTGACTTGATGTGTCATGCGAAAGATACTTCTAACAGTACAGACAAAGTTTTATCAAATTGAAACCGGATCTACTCCTCACACCTTGTGCCTCATACACACATCCTACCATGCATTGGGAACATCTCCCGTACTTATTAATTATTATTCATGGGAGATATTCTCAATGCATGGTGGATGTACCTATGAGGTGCCCATTTGTGAGGAGCAGATCCCGCTTCTCTCGATTCTAGTTTAAGAGAAGAGAGGAATTTTGTTTTATCCTTTTCTTTTTTACTTGTGATGGTTGGTGAAAGATATAGAGATTGGATTCAATCCTTACAAAACCATGTTCATACTATATTTACAGCCACTTGCAATCATATGTTGGGAATAAGTACTTGTTTCATTGGTAAGTATTTGCAATGGTATTGTGAGTATTGAATCCTGAGTTCAAAGACAAAGGATTGTATCCATGTGTGCAAAGTGCCAACTCATACACATCATAAATCAGACAAACTATTGCTTTTTAAAATAAGTGATGCTTGGGATCTCATTCTCCTAAAATCCCGACAAAAATACATGGTTTTTAAAATTGATTCGAGATCGAACCGGTCAGAGATTTGGTTATCGGGTTGAACGGTCCAGCCCGTTCTAACAAAAAAAAATTAAAATTTTAAAAAAATAAATCTGAACTTACTCTATTCAGACTTGAGACTTCATATACCAGACCAGAGGCCAGCAAGGATGGCATCCTGGACTGCCATCAACTCCCCATTTTCCACCACCGCCAATTGTGACCGGAAAACCACCCATTTCCGACGTGCTACCCTTAATAGCTTCGTTGGCCTCCGGAAAATCACATTAGAGAATCACCATTCCCTCTCCCTAACTAAATCTCTCTCATCCAAACCAAATCTCCGCAGATTCCGTATCTTAGCTAGCAAATCCAGCCCCAAACTCTCCGATCGCAACCTCCGAGTAGCCGTAATCGGCGGAGGTCTGGCAGGCGGCTCGGCTGCTGAGACGCTAGCGAAGGGTGGCATTGAAACTTACCTCATTGAATGGAAGCTGGACAATTGCTAGCCATGCGGCGACGCTATTCCGCTCTGCATGATCGAAGAGTTCGACCTCTTGCTTGACATTATCGACCGTCGGGTCACTAAGATGAAGATGATCTCCCCATCCGATGTGGCCGTCGACATCGGTCAAACCCTAAAACCCCACGAATACATTGGTATGGTACACCGGGAGCTCGACGCATACCTCCGCGACCGTGCTACCAAGTTGGGCGCAACGATCACCGAACGGTTAACCGCTCGAATCAACGGTTTGTTGACCAAAATCAATGGTTTTGAAAAAAATTCAGTTTTCCCTAAAACTGAATTCGTCACTTGAATAGTTTTCGGTCCGACCATCCGGAATCATGCAAAAAGATGTAGTCATCATATGAGGTTCGTCGGTGATCGGAAAACTGAACGTATTAAATATTAATCTACTAATTGCATAAACGACTGTTTCCTTTATGTGCTTTTACTTTGTTTTTTTTTTTTCCCACTTTTTGTTTCTCATTCAGATTAAAATAAAAAATCTTCGCCCATTTTATATCAAAACAAGCGGAACTTCAAAGATTAAAAACTTCGAATTAATTAGTGGTCGGTGGTTGTTTGCTCTTGCCGATGATGGTGCGCGCTGTTGGCGGACAGCTCAGATGTTGGACTAACTAGGTTGTGTGGCCGAATTGCAAGAAGACAGATATCAGAGTGTTCGGGTAGCTTGACTCAAGGTGGCACTCCGATGTTTAAGTCAGTGAATTGGTATTTGTTTACAAGAAAAATCTAGAGAGCTTGAGTGTTTAGAGAGCTAAATCACATATATCTTATAAAGTTAGAGGTGGGGCCTTTATATAGATGAGCAGTTGTGAGCCTCACGAAACGCGTTTGGGTCCTATCTAGTTCGGAGGTGGTTTTATGCCTAGAGGCGGATTTCGTGTAAGCAGATAACATTTATCTAATCCCGTCTGAAACGGGTAGGGTGATAACTAGCTATTCCTATGTGGCGTCGTGATCCCGAGGAATTTGGAGACAATGATCCACTTAAGGGGGAGGTTGCTCGGCACATTAGGCGAGTCGCTAACCAGAGTCGGTTCAGACCGGTGGAAACAAGTCGCCTTTTACGTCGACATGAGGTTTTGCCTAGTTGTTCGCAGTTCGTCCTGCCGAAGTGGTGTTGAGGTTGTCGAAGCGGTTGTGAAGTATCAAAAGTACTCATGGGGTCTGCTTAGTGATGCTGAGATGCCACTCTACTATTTTGTAGTGTCATGTATCGTGATATCATTGGTAGGGGTGTCAACGGTATTCAAAAATCCAACTTCAAATTCGAGATTTGACATAGTTGAATTGAATTCGGATTTAATTCGAATATCTAACCAGTCATATTTGAATATCCTATTATACCGAATAGCTAATCGGATTCGAATTCGAATATGACCTGATTAGATTCAATAAATATCCGAATTCGGCCGATTATTTAATTCTTATATATAATATATAAATTTTTTAAATGTTTTATATAATATATATAATTAAATTATATAAATAATGTATATATTTATATACTTTACATTAATAAAATAATTATTTTATATATTTATTAATTACCTAAAATAATTAAATAATCGAATTTGAATCAAATCGAATATTCAATTATTTAATCGGATTCAAATTCAAATATTAATTTTCAATATACATCGGATATAAAATTTTTTTAATCGGATTCGAATTTGAATATTGCCTTATCCAATTATCCGTTTATACTCTAATCATTGGATGACCAAATTACCCTTGGTCAGCCGGCATGATGGCGACCTTGTCCTAATAGTCCTTCTAATTTCTAAATGTCAAACAATGGTCCAAAGCACCAACGGTTTAAGATCTTACGGCATTGCTGGCATTTCTCTCTAAGATTCTAACTAAAAAGAGAGATGAAGAGATTTTAATTTTACTTTTTGTTGCTATCATTTCTCTCCATCTCATTCTTGTTACTCTCGAACGTTTTTTGTTTTCGGTCGGTAACATCACCCTTGTAATCTCAAACAACGGAAACGATATACTCGACTAATTGTCAAGCTAAATCTACATGCAGTTCAGCTTAACAGAAATTATCCCATTATATTGTTCTTTTTATGCTTTATGCATAGGAGCTTCGTGATCGCCTCGGCTCCAATACAGAATTGTTCTATTGGAACCATATTGTAAACGATATGGTTTCTTTTGTGCAGGAAACCTTGGCCTTTGTTCTTGGTTATGAAAGTGATTTGCTTTTTTTTTGTTTTTCACAAGGATTTGTTTCATTGAAACTGATCTTAAATATAGCTTGCTTAGCTTTTGGGGGATTCATCAATGCAGCACTAACCCAACTTAATTTGATTCACTGATACCATTACTCCTCTCTGCAGAAACCACCACGTACCCTTTTATTAATTTATTGTTATATGCAGGCACGGGCCATAACATGTTCAATCTTTATTTATTTATTTGTTTGTTTTGTTTATTTATATGTTTTTTCTTTGGATAAGCAAGAACATATCTGTCATAGCTGCGATTACTCTTATTTTCATTTGGATCAGTATTCCATGGCTTCCCCGTGATAGTGTACTTAATTTTGTCTTTGAGCCTTCATTTCGCTTCAATTATTATAGCTAAAGAGATTAGAATCTATTTATAAAGATTAGGGGACTTTTCTACTCCAACATATTCATATACATCGGTCGGAACAATTACCAGAACATCGATCTCGAGTGCCCAGAGCTAGCATTCTGCAGGTAATAATATCAAACAAACATTATACATTCCATGGAAGGCACTCATAGTGATCTCAGTGCATCTCTGCCTCCTCCAGCAGTACCCTATCTGAAACCGAGCTCCACCACCCACTTCCACTACGGTCTGGTGGTGATTGCATTGATTGCTGTCTTGCTCGTAGCTTACAACCTAATGTTCGTCATGTGGTGTCAGCAACATCCTTTACGACGACTTGGTGGAAGATCAGACGACCCATCAGGAAAAATGATCAGCGGACAGCGGGAATGAGACTGAGAATCCAAATGGGGGATTAGCTGCAGATCTTAAACGCAGGAAGGACACCCATAATGTACAGGAGTCTGAACGAGTGTTCCGTGTGCTTGTCGGTTTTTGTTGATGGCGAAGATATTCGGCAGCTAGCCTTGTGCAAGCACACCTTCCATGCTCCTTGCATAGATATGTGGCTCCATTCTCACTCCAGTTGTTCACTTTGTCGCGCCTCTGTCGTGGAGCTCCGCCCAGATATCTGGGAATTGGCCGAAGAAAATGATTTAAGGCTAGGAATGGCGGATTCAAGGAGAGCTTTAGTGTGAGTCTTTTCTGCCGAGCCTAGCTAGCTATTTGTTCGCACTTCTCCATCGCTTAATTACTGTGATAATGTTGGATGTAAAGCTGGGGTCATAGACTCATAGCTTTGTCGCCCTATGTATTTTATACACCCCAACCTAATTACAGCTTATATATTACCATTCCGTCGTACTCATGTGCAATCAACCTCGATCTGCTTGAGTTCAAACACAAGGTGGACCTTAACTGCCGCCGGTAAAGCTTGGTAGCGAGACCTGCGGCCTAATGTTGATGCCGAAAGGCCATCTGATCATGAGTTACAGAAACTGGCCGGCCGGGACTATGATCTGATCGAGTTTTGACCATATCAAAGTTCTGGGTAGCCAAGTTTCGCATCCCCAATACACGCATTACGTAGATTTTGTACAGGAAATGAGATTAGTTAGTTCAGATTTGGGATTTGGTTAATTACCTTGAGGCAATATGGTTTCTTGAGATGTATGTTTTAGAAGGTAGATGAATGACAGGCTGATAGCCGTTCAGGTAGCAAGCAAGTCTAAGTGTCTAACAAGCCTGTAACGAGTAAGGCACAAAGACTATTCAGAGCTGTTTCGGTTAATACAAAGGTTGTGGTTTAATTAATACCCAAGACGCCCGTGACAGCCTTTGTCTTTTTTTTTTTTTTGCCATCTAGGTCCCGTGTTGCTTGCGGCCAAGCGTGGCCCCCCTGTCGCAGTTGCAGAGAACCAATAATTACACGTTTATTTTGGGTTTGGGCTGACGTTCAATTAATTTATAATGAAATACACACCCATATTTCTCTATTCACCACCCCTAGATTCTCTTTAGGTTATTCCTATGACAATGTCGATATCCACAATAAAAGAGAACTGTCCCCCACGCTGTTCATGTGTAAAAGTAGGTATTAATTATATAAGATATATGTTATTTGAATTTAAATTTTATGATCTGTCACATTATTGAAGGCAAATATAGTGCTTTTTATAATATATAAATTATAAATACACTACACTGAAAATAATATTATAAATATATTGTAGAATATTAATATTGCAATGTAAATACAAATAAATAGATGTAAATATATACACATGAAGTATTAATTATACTATGAAAGCCCAATCCATGCAAAACCGAGTTCAGATTTCTTCTTTACAAAATCCTCGTAACACTTGCAGTTGTGCGTTGGAAGCATTTCCCCAAAAATGAAAACATACAAATATGAGAAATATTCTAGATCTGCAGCTGCAATATGCTATGAGGTGGGTGCGAGGAGGATTTTGTGTGTATGAAATTTGAACTCTATAAAATAGTGTTTTTGAATCACTGCTGACCTGGATGGTTGGTTTGGTTTAGGAACCGTTTAGGCAATTGGTTCTAATTTATCGTATACCTGGTCTTTGGCCAAAAAACATTGAATTGATCAACAATTCATTCAATCCATTCAACAATTTTTAGCCATTTTAGTTATTTTTTGTTTTTTAAGTTGAAACAGACCATCTATTCAAACTGGATGATCAAACTGTCAAACCTGAAAACCGGTGGCTAGAACGGTTTTGATTCTGGGTCAGTTTTTAAAACCTTAATTAAAGAACTCGAATGGGATTGAGTTGTAGCTGGGCTGTCGAAGTTAGGTGGGCTTAATGGATTGTGTCATATAACATTTCCTTCTAGACTAACCTCAACCTGGTTTTGGATGGTCGAGGGCCTTGTGGCCACCATTCAGTAGATTGTTTTACAAATCACAACCACAAAATCACCATAAAAACCACAGAATCAGTCTCAGTGATGATGTGATGCCTGGCATGAATAGCTGACAACTAAAGAAGGGACAAGTAACGCAAAGCCCATTTATCAAAAGAAAAGTACTGTAAGGCCCATAACCTTATAACACTTGAACTCGAGATAGCTTCCTAAATCAAAGCTGCAGGTGTCCAGGGTTTTGATTGATTTGGCTAAGCACATTTCTATAGATCGAGTAGGGCCAATCCAGTCCTTAAAAAGCAACTTGGATAAACAAAAAGAATCTGTGCACCTGTCTCAAGGAACATCCCCTGTTCATATTGTAAAGATACCAGGAACAGGAAGTTTACATGGGTTGTGAAGATTCCTCTAAAGAAAGAGAAAAAGTAGTGCAATGCCCAATGGCAATGGGGCCATTTACATTGTTTTTCATTTCCTGACAGATGTCCCCTCTGCGTGTTGTACTCTTAGACTATGCTAGAATTCATTGCTCTCTAGATCTCTCATTTTATCCAGGTGGCCACCAACAGGGCCAATGCTATAAAACCATAAAAGGATGGTAAAGTGATGCGTGTGTTGGTCTTGATAAATTAGTTGGATACCTTTTACAACGTGAAGGAAGCACATGAGCGTGGGGAGCACGTAGACAAGTAAGGACCAGGTAACTTTGGCTGTTGGGTGCCAACAACCGCAACAGCGTAGGCTGTTGAGAGAGTTTTTGGACTGGGCGCGTTTCACCAATAATTCACGCCCATGTTTATGTTTTTTGGTCTAGGGACAATTACTATTTTCCCATTCTCATGGTAATGTGACATGGCATTCCCAAGAATGTTTTCAACAGCCTGGTTCAACGGTCAAAGTTTTTTGAATAACAACATTGGGTCTGATCCTAAAAACTTTGGCTGCCTATGCTGTTGATAACATTCTTGAAAATACCACGTTACTAAGAGTAGATAAATTAGTAATTGCATCATATATTTTATTTTGACCAAAATGAAAGATACGAGGGTGAATAGGTGAACGTGTCCACTCTAAAAACTCTCTCACCAGCATAAGCTGTTAGCCCCCAACAGCCAAAACGATATCGGTCTGATCGTCTGATGCTCTGAGCAATGTATTAAGATGGGTTAATCTCCAATCCAACAATGATGCAGGAATTTTTGACGTAATAGGGTTTTTTTGGGGGGGCACCAAATGCCCGTGTTTGTTCACCTCTACAGCTTCTATCATTGAAAGGAAATTAAGTATGAAAGCCTTAACCACGTGCCAAAGAGGCCATTGTGGCCTTGTAGGCAGTTTTTAAATTAAAACACGATGGCTACAATCAACAGGGAAAAATAAATATAAGGTGTAGTATAGTGTTAATGGGGATTGAAAACATGGTCAATCTAAATACTCTAAATTCAAGTTACAGTTCTGATCAGCCAGATTTACATGGCAAAAGCACACTGTGTAGGGAAGGTCTCTGCTTGACCTGACGAAGGACCTTTTTTCTGTGAAAGTCCAGCAAAGAAAAAGAGGAGAGAAAGGGGTGGGTGGGGGGGGGAGTGTAATGGCAAATGGGCAAATGGGGACCAATTTCCATTTCCTGAATAGTGACCCCTTGGCATTTTTCACTGTGTCTGGTGTGGGCTCGGTCCACTTTAAAGCCCATGATTGAATTGGCCATACTTGATTATAAAATCGGATTTGGTCTTTACAAGACCGTGTTTATATCATTCGTGTACAGTCGATCTCTTGCAGCCTTGCATTGGGAATATCTCTTCATGAGTAAAAAATATACATGAAAAAAGTATACATGTATGGTGATATCCCAAATGTCTTGTAAGCACTGAATCTGATCTCCTCCATTAGTAGACTGTAGACCTAATGAATACGTTGGCATTGAAAAATTATTTGAAGATTTTAGATGGGCTTCTGGTTTATTTCCAAATCACCATGGAGGTGTTTGGTACCGTGGCATTGCAGTTGATTTTGTGGGTTGATCAATGAGAATTATGCGTTGCCACATTATATGTGAGTGTCATTTCAATAAGAAAAATGTATATTATGTGTCTGAGAAACATCAATTTAACATTTTAAATAAAAATAGTAATTTGTGTTTATCAATTCAAAATATTTTAGTTAAAAAATCTCACATAATTTTGTATTGATCAACCTAAAATACAGTTACAATACAACATTTCTGTATCAAACACCTACTATATTTGCGCATATGGTGTAGGAAGAACATGGAAGGACACGCAGGTCTCTTTCTTTTAGCTTTTTTTTCTAATTTTTTTTTCTTTTTTCATGTTTTATTTACACTGTTCTTGAAAATAAACGTAAAGGTTGGGGTAGTCTGTAGTCAGGTTCTCATAGATAACGAGGGATTTTCTTCAGTTTACAAGAGTTGGCCAGAATCCAAACATCCCTATTATTGCAACGTGTAACCCAGCTCAAATTTGGACCCTAATGTTGGATACAAAATGACACTGGATGCGATCGCCTGAGCAAAGTACTAAGTTACATAGTTAGGGCCTTGGGGAAATCATTCCGATTCCAACTGCTATGTTTGGTTTAAAGGAAAAGGTAGGGAAAGGTATGAAAATCTATATAGAGTTTGTAAAGGTTTTCTTGCCTTTTCCTTACTTTCCCTATTTTTTCCTTTAAATCAAACATAATGAACCCTTAATTTTTATACATGTTTTTAGGGGTGGTAATTTGTCAATTTCTCACCCAACCTACTTAATCCATCCAACTCAACTAGTATCTAATTCACTCAAATCGTCTATTTATTTGGCGGGTTGAAAATGGGTTGATCACCCACTGGGTCAATTTAAATGGGTTGGGTCGGGTTAAGTTATGGATAATCATTGGATTAACGTTTTTTTTTTAATGTTCTTCATTTGAGTGAAATAATTTATAATTAATACATTAATTTTCTATTAAATATTGACTAAAATTAGTTTTGCCTCGAATCAAGACACTTCACCCAAATCCACATAAATCAAAATCAACCCAACCTGAGTCCGGACCAGTTCAACTCAGTCTAAATTTAAACAGATCCAAGCACCTCGGTTCATTCCCAAGTCTCCACTACAACCTGAAGGAGATCTTACCAACCCACTGGTTGGTACCTTGCATTATAAATAAAAATTTAGATGAAAGAAAAAATATAAACAAATACTAAAGTAGATAAAATGCTGCAAAAACGTACAAAAATGGTAAGCAACGAAAACAACTATAATATTTATATATTCATCATCACATATTAAATTGAGAGAGAGGGAGAGTACCGGTGGCTATGGGCTTAAGGTTGTGTTTGGGAGTGTTTATTGGGCTAGTTAGTTGTTAGAAGCCAAAAGCACTAAAAAAATCCGAAGTGGCATTTGGTTTAAGAAGCCAAACGCTCAAATGTATTTATCTATAAAAAATAAGGCATAAGCAATTATTTAAAATGTAATTATTTAAAAACCTCTAACAAACACAGCCTATTGAACACGGTGGCCAGTCCAAAGCAGTCCTTAATTCAGTGGACAGTTCAATCAGCCACATTCACAAGATCAAAGCAACTTATAAAGTGGGTCGTGTGTGTGTGTTGGGGAAGGGGGAGATTAGAACATTAAAATGTAAACTGGCCCTAGTCTAGACCATGAAGATTCCTCACGGTCTTCCATTTTTAATACCTTAAACCAGAAACTGGCTGTCGTTTTGTCATTGGCATTTCTGTGGTGAT